GAAAGGTGAAACTTGGCACACGTATAAGTGAGGTGATATTATTGAGTTGAGGGAATATTCAGCTTTCATGGTGCATCCCCTCCGGGCATAGCTTTTGGGTGGGTCGGCTTTTCCAAACATGATTTTTCACCAGCGAAAAGGGCAAACGTATAATATTGAAACTTTGTGGACATGTAGTTCACTGAGGTTTGATTTCGGTAAAAATGGTACTTTTCTGTTATAATGCCCGAGGGCAGATATTTTCCAAATTTTCATAAGTTTTCTGATCCAGCAAAACGGAGGGTGGTAGAAAGTTTAAACTTGGCAAAGAAGTACCTGATGAATAGCTGAGTAAAGAAACAATTCTACTTTCATATTATATATAGATGATCATGAGCAGCTGACTGACTGACATAAGTAGCTATTCACATCTTGAGTTCAGGAAAAATTCCACTTTGGTGATACACGCCATAGGGGCACCCCTTTTCGGGGAACATATTTTCAAATAGTTCTCTTTGCTTCAATCAAAAGGAGACCCATGGAAAGCTGTAACATGGCAAGAATGTGACTGGCGAAGCACTCAGCTCAAATGTCAAATGTCAAATTTCCAAAATATTTTTGGGGGGCATATTTCTTGGGGACGTAACGTTTTCAAAGAATTTTTTAAATATGCTAGCGAATCGGGCAGAAATAGAAAAATAGCAGCTGGCGCACGAATAACGGACGTGATGTTGATTTAAGGAAAAATTCAACTTTTGCTGAGCGTCTCCCCAGAGCACAGCTTTTGGGTGGGTTGCTTTTCCAAATATATTTTTTACCGCCAGCAAAAAGGGGAAACGTATAAGACTGAAACTGGGTGGCATGGAGTTCCCTGAGTCTATATTTCAGAATAAAAATAAATTTTCGTTAAAAAAAATCAGGATACTTTTTTTTTAAGTCCTATTTTCGTGAATTATTTTTCGATCCAACGAAACAGAAACAGAAAATTTAAAATTCACTCAGAAGTACCTGTTTTATGGCTGAGTACGGGAAAAATCCTACTTTTGAAATATGCCTCATGAGCGTAGATTATAGGAGGGAAGTATTGCAAAATGTATTCTCCACCCTTACAAAAAGGGACACATGAAAAGATTTCAAGTTAGGAACACTAGAAATAATAGAAGTAATGATTTTGATAAAAATGAAGACTTTCGTCCCCATATGTCACGTATTCCAATCGGACGTACTTTAATTAAGTGTTAGCCATTTCGCAAAGAATAAATGAATTAATCGCTATCCAAGGTAATGGAGAGCCGAAGGCTCGACCACAGCGAGTTTGTAATATTTTTGAAGACTCTAAATTTTGGACATTTAACCCTTTTAGTGCCAAAGTCGATTAGATTGATGCTACGAATTTCGTTTTAAAATGCCAGAGTTGAAGAGTTGACAATAAATGGGTTAAAGTGAGAGGATAAACACTATTTAGCGATCTGGCGAAATAAATTTCTTAATCCTTTTAACGCCAGCACTTCGACTTTCACTTTCAAAAGAAATTTGCAGCGTCGATCTAATCGACTCTGGCACTATAAGGGTTGAGCCGTCACTTGCGCGTTCCCAAGGACGTTCCTTGAATGTTGGCAGTACCTTATATGGGATGTTCATTGAACATTCATCGATCATTCCGCTGTTACTTGGGACACAATGTCTCTTCCCTCGAGGCTCTTGTTTCCGTGACCCATAAATTCCCTTTCAATTCCAAAACAACAGATACGTGCTCCCAGGAGTTGCCAACAGAGGCAGTATAGCAGTATACCTCAGAACTTTTCGCCCTGAGGGCTTAACCGTAAAAGCGTTAGAAAACTCAGTTTCATACATCTGCTAATGACACCTCAGCCTCTGACGACGATCTCCTTGTCCATTTTATTTGTTCTCGTGAGCAAGGGTATGAAACTCCTGAAAACTCCTTGTTTAATCCCTCTTCTTATTTATTGTCCAGATTTGCGTGTCCCTTGACCCATTCCTTTACCTTTTTACCTTTCTTTGGAACTGTTGCGAGCAAGTGGCGCTTCTCTTCCAAGTTTGATTTATTTACCGGATCCTTTTTGGGTTTACCATTACCATCTGATGACCTACAGTTTTAAAACCTGTTGTGCCTGTCAAATATCAGCGAGCAGCCAGGGGCATCCGCTCTATAAGCAGCAGCAGGCAACTTACCGCAAGCTCTGTTGGCGCATTTCTCAAAATTGTAAATGGTCAATTTGATTACTAAATGCTTCAGTCATGTTCGCGAAGATGGTCTAAGTGTCCATTAAAAAAGTTATTGAAATTTTCAATTGAAAATCAAGGAGCAGTAAATTTTTTCCATTCACCTTCCAGAGCCACCCAAGATCCCCACCAGAATTGCCACCTTCCAATCAAAGACGAATAAATTTAGAGAAGGTCTGGAACTGAGCTGAAATTTTTTAATGATCTGATTCAATGTCAGAAATTCCTGACGGAAAATGCAAATTTCGGTTTCCCCAAATGCTCTGAAAATAATTCCTGTCATTTCTCCGAAAACCTCGTCTGTGTTATTGGCAGAATTTTTTTTTTTTACGCCTTCTTTCTGGAATATCACGTCTGAGGATCCTGTATTCGGCATCTAACCTTTTTGGGAATGATTTATTTACTCGCTCGTGGCGTAAAAGCGTGTTTCCGATAATGCCCTGAAATTCCAAGCATACAATTATGGAAGGGTAGCTCTACGTGCATGAATAGTGGATGGCATTTCTGAGGAGTACATCGTAATGGGAATACCGTCGACGATATTGAACTTTCGGTGCTGACATCTTGGGGAAGTATTCTGAACCTTCACTTCCAACATGAAACCATAGAGAACTCTGACCCCAGAAATTCCCATGATTATGTCTTCTTAATCAAACGTGAATCAGAGCATTGACTCCCGAAGTGAACGTCTTTTCATGCTTATTGCTCTGTCGGATAGGGAGGAAACGAACAACATCATGGCTTCCTCTCCCCGTTAGGAACTGGTGTATGAAAAGTCACTGACTGATTTATTTTTCTGTCTTCCTTCAGGCATGATTTTCTAAAGTAACACTGGCATTCTTCAGTGCGGTAATACTTAGGGTTTTATTAGGCAATGCAACTTTCATTAGAATGCGCTTTCGAATGAGTGCTCATTATGAAATTTGGATGTGCCCCACTCCAGGCAAAGTGTTGGTTCATGCAAAAAAGTTTCCTAGTCGGTGGATAGGTCGGCGCCGAGCCATTCACTAGGAAGCACGTAATACTGACTTGACCTATGTGATTTATTGTTGTGGAGCAATTTAAACGGAAAATTATACGCTAGTGACAGAAAACATTAGAACTTGTGGACATCTTCTGCAGGGAAGTTAATGCAATTCCGGTTCATATGGTCCGTGCAGCCTGTGATAAATTTAGGCTGAACATTAAAAATGCGTACGTGAATAGGTCAGCTATATTTAATGATATTAAACGGTGGATTGGGGATTGGCATTATTTTGAAGTGAAATGTTTTCCTAGTTGTTATCCTTGAGTTTTTACGTAAAGTAATTGCGATACTATTCGGTAAAACAAAGTTGTGTCAACGTTGAGCGAGGATTGATTTTTCAACTTAGCAATATTAGGAAGACGTTGTGCAAAAGGTTGATTCCTTGTTATAGCCATGTTAAAAAGAGACACAGTTCAAAATTGAAAAGACGTGCATGTGTCACATTGTGTCAACATTGAATTGTCAACTTCTTAGCATTGCCTCCTCCTTCTCCTGATATTCAAGATACGCTTATGCAATGATGATCTTGTATCGTTGGAATCTTCTGTCCTACTTTTTGAGAGCTTGAAAGTACTCTGACGAGTATCATCCCACGGTTAAATCCATGTGAAGCTTACTGGATCAGGATCCTAGATACCTTCCTGAAGTACAAGGTGACACACAGGGCCGGATTAACCCATAGGCTAATGAGGTTATAGCCTTAGACACTGGCGTTATCGCTCAGTATAAATAGCCTTCTGTCTGGCAAAAGCTACGGCGGAAAGCGGAAATGTCCTTTCTCAAGTTTGACGAACTTCCGCTATCCGCGTTCCGCGCCGATTTCCGCTCAGTATAAATCTACCTTTATAAGTAGTAATAAAAGCGGACACTTCCTCCTTTATTATTCCCGTATACGAGACGAATTCCTGGATCTTTGATCAAAAGAAGCTTGTCTTCATAAACAGTATCCCGTACATAAAAAGTAAACTTTATCCACAAGGAATATCTGAATCTAATAATGAAAATTAGCGTTCTTGAAATCATTCTCCAATTTGTTCATCCTGATGATTGGGTGATAAAATTGGGGTCTGACGTTTAGAACGCTCAATGGGATTAGAGGAAAGCCTCTCACCTTATGATTATGTATATACTAGGAAAGTTACATTAATCCAGGTCGATTTATTATACAACCTTTTTAAAAGGATTTTTTATTTAACCTTCCAAAAAAGGCTAAATATGTAACCCGCAGAGGATAAATATAAGTTGCAGTTGAAACACCCATTAGGAGATAAAAGCTGAACCATTTTTTCTAACAGTGTAGAGCCAAAGGCGCTTCTTTCGTAGGTGGAGGTTTCTCCTATGATCCCTCACCTCTATGAAGCGAACCCGCTACCTCTCTGTTGTCAGCATAACCTATCACCTCGGATCTGGTCACATCCCCAAACACGGCAACGCAATTTAAAAAAAAAAAGTTTTTGTAATGTTTCCCACGTGTGGATGTTTCTGTTATTGTAAGTGGATCTGTAGATGTGATTAGTGTTGGCAGAGTTGAATGGGACTTTATTACGACCCTCATGGTTTGAAATCATTTCTTGTACATGGTACATACTCATGCATTTGACGGCGTCAATATCAACTCAGAAGCCCGAGACTTCCTTATATATTTTTAAAAGTAAATATCGAAAAAGAGAAATAAAGATGGATGGAGTAGGGAGATCGAGTAGGGTTCGAAGTTTTAAGAGAATTGAAATGTCGACGAAGTGGAAAATGATCAGAGTTCGGATTCAACTTCATTTATATGCTTCGCCGGGTCGCTTTCCTTTCCCATTTCTCTGTCCTTTTTCTCCTGTTCCGGGTCTTCGCTTTTATCCTTGTTATTTTCCTTGTTCCCGCCTTCGATTTGTTCACCTTCGATCTTGTCCTGTTCTTTCACCTTATCTTGGGCCTCTACTTCACCTTCGACATTATCCTTCTCACTCTTTACGCGGAGATTGCTCTCTTGGACCTTTGCGTCAACTTTGCCCTCGCCCTTCCCGCTCTCTTGATTCTCCGGATAGTTGTGATTGACCTCAACATTGCCTTCACCATTATCCTCTTCACCTTCTGTGTTGCCCTTGCGACTGTCTTGAACCTCTGCACTAGCTTCGGTATTTTCCTTTGGACTCTCTATCTTGTCCTCTTTACCGTCCAGAGGTCGAGGCTGTGTATCATCCGTACCTTCCTTGACTTCGTTGGTCTCTCTCTTCTGAACCAAAATCTGTTGTTCCGGCTTTTCGGGTTGCCCGCTCTGGAGGATGGACGTGGAGTTCTCGATCGCATTGTCAGCCAGATCGGGAGGCGACTTTTTCGTGAGCTCGGCGAAGGTCGTGATGAGATTCCTGATGCCGTCGTGCAGCACTCGCATCTGTATGGATTTCTCCGAGTCTGGCGTGGGTGCACTTGGCTCCTCGGATTCTGCTGAAGATGGCAGCAATTTATTCGCCCTCTGTTGAAGAAAAGGAGGAGGTGCTCTTAAAGGTTCATCGAGAGGGGGATGTGTCACGCGGGTTCGACCGCGAAGGAGACACCTGCCGGGCATTCCGGGAAGACAAAATCCGATTTGTTGGTTGAAGAACGTTCCATCGGGGCATTGGTACAGACGAAACTCGTCATCGCTGCAGGAATAGTAAAACCGGCACCCGGTGTCGGGAACGGCGTGAAGGCCATCCTCTGAGCTGGAGCAGATTCGGTCCTCCGCCTGAGACGCCATGCTTTCGTCGCACGACGCGTCGTCGCGTGACCGACACGCTTCAGAGTTGGAGTCGAAGGCCTCGCCAGTAGGGCAAGGCGTCGAGCGGATCTCGTCGTTCACGCATTCGTAAAATGAGGTGCAGTTTTCGGCCGGATCCGTGAGAAAGGGAATGTCCATCGACGTGCAGAGCAGCATCTTGTAATCCGAGATCTCCGTGTGATCCGAGTTGGGATTCGAGCCTTCCACCTCTGGTTTTGTGAAGGGTTTTTCGCGGAGGATCGGAGGCGAAAGCACGAAGGGATTGGGGAAGGAGGGAAACGGGAGGCCAGGCAGACGAGGCAGTGAAGAAGGCGAATTGAGAAACGAAGGAGGCAGAAGTGCGGGCGGACGGAACCGGGGTGCCATCGGGGCGTATCGCGTCTCGTCCGTCTGCATCTTCTTACCCGCGTTGGGGCACGTGGATCCGGGTCTGCACGAGCTAGACGACTCATCGAACGCGGATCCTGCCGGGCATCTGTAAGAACCGATCACCTGCTTATCGGAGCAGACGACGAAACCCTTGCATTCGGAAAACGGTTGGACCCCGTCCGATTTTTCGTTGCATAGGTCTCGTAGGGCGTCCATGCTGTCCAGGAACGCGTGAGAAGCCCCCGTTGCACACGAACCGTTCTTGCAGTCGACGCGCAGCTCGCAGACGGCTGTTTCCGCGCTCTCACACAGTTGAGACTTGGTGTCGAAAACGAGACCGGGGGAACATTTCTGTTGCATCTTGATTCCATCCGGCATGCACATATAATACTCGGTGCAGTTGCTGACAAAGTTGGGATAAAAACCGGGATGACGCCCTTTGCAGGAGAAACGGTCTGAGGTGGCACCGAAATCGGAGTCAGAAACGGAACTGGAAAGCACCTTATACTCCGAACAGACGACGCGTTCCACGGGCCGGCAGGACTTAGAGACGTCGTCGAAAATCGTGCCCTGAGGACAGAAACCAAGCCAAGCCCTTCGACCGCAGGCATAAAAGGCCCTGCAACCGGACGATAGATCCACTTGCACACCTGGCTCTCGCTCGTCGCAGACTGGCACCTGACACCCACCGGACTTCGGGACGCATCCGATCCTCTCGGAGTCGAAGACTTCGCCCTCTGGGCAGGGAAACCGATACAGATGCCCTCCCCTACAGGCATAGACCTGGGAACACCCCGAATGATAATCGGGATACAGCCCGTCCGGGAGCTCTAGGCAGGATATGTCTTCGCTTTTCACCCGGCACAGCAGCTCCGACATGCATCGACGCGACACGATGTTGTACTGCTCGCCTTCCCCGCAGGTGTCGTCATCGATCAGCGTCCCGTTCTGACAGGCAAAGTACTTGCGACAATCGGAGTTGCTCTCGATGTAGTAGCCATCGATGCGATCGGCGCACTTAGCATCGACTGCGACAGATCTATTGCACGCAACGAGAAACGACGGTCGACATTCTTGCGACGTCGCGTCGAACGACATCCCTTGAGAGCATCGGACGATCGGCCCCGTCATCTTTCCCTCCTTGCACAGAGAGTACTGCTTGCATCCCGTCCCCAGAACCGGCTGGTATCCCGTGTAACCGTCGGGACAAGTCTTCACCTTGGCCTCTGACGATGGACAGACGAACTCGTCCTTGGGAACGCAGAAGGCCCCGTCGAAGACCCGATTGCCCGGACACGAGTGTACGACCAGCTGGGTCTGTCGCTTACAGAACACGAAATCCCTACAGCCGGAGCTCAACACCGGGTGGTAACCGTCTGGTTCACCCGAGCAGACGTCCTCCACCGACGCATCGAGTCGACCCCGAATCGGATTTACGATCGTCTCAGACTCCATCATCGACCTCGGACAGACGTAATTCGCCTCCGGAACGCACCGCTTCCCATTGAACACCTTGTTATCCGAACACCGACGCACCGAAACCACGTCGAAGTTCAAGCAGAGGTAGTATCTCCGACACCCCTCCCTCTCGTCCGCGTAGAACCCATTTCCCTTCCCCAGACATTCCAATGCCCCTGGCTCGACCACACGCTCCACCCTCGTGCAAGCGTCGCCAGGTCGGCAGGAGTCACGGTCAAAGGTTGTCCCTTTTGGGCAGACTCGGTAAGAGTCGACCCTTCCCCCCACGCAGGCGTAGTAGCCTCTGCACCCAGTGGATTCGTCCGGGTGGAGACCGTCACTCTTGTCGCCGCATCTCGCCTCGTTGCACCGACCCGCCGCTATCGGGACGCAAGTCTAAAGAGAATCAATCATCATCGTTACGAATCCGTTCACGAATCGACGGATCCTAGCACGTTTCGAACGATCCGCGAAGACAATGACAACTGAATTCGCGTATTACCGTACGGAAAGGGCTTGTGACCGATGACATCAGTCGAAGACAACCCTAAGAATCGACTTAAAAAACTTGAAAAGGAAAACGCGGCATCCAGCCACGCCCTCACCTGAACCCGATCGTCGAAGATGTCCCCAAGTGGACATTTTCTTAGCACCGGCGGACCCCCTCCCCTGCACTCGAAAGACGCCCGACACCTGGAACCGGGCAAGGCCGCTGAGAAGTTGGACGACCCGTTGCACGACGGCTCCACACAGTCCACGTGCTCCGGATTCCCGCAAGACCGGGTCTGCATGTCGAACCGGAGATCTCCCGGACACGACCCTCCTCCGATATTTTTTCCCGAATGGCATCTACAAGTAAAACCGGCTCTCGATTAATTGATTAGTTAATACTTTATTAATTCATTCATTACCTTAATTCATCAAGAAATTACTTATTATAATCATATTTTTTGCACTAATATTTCTTTCATATTCTGCAGCAATCGCCTTTTCACCTTTTTGATTTTGACCGAATCCTTCAAGGTAATCGTTCAAGGTATTCGTGCAATTCATGCACGAACCGTGCAGGTTAATTGTTGAACGATTACCTTCGAACGTTAAAAATAAGGCTTGATGTCTCAAAATCTATCATGAATAACCAAAGAGAACCTCTTAGATGAATGGAATGCAAATGAAGTACTCCCGCTAGTGTTTGTGGAGAAAGGAAAAACTAAAACTAAAGCTAAACTAAACAAAATAAATATATAATAATAAAATACAAACACGAAAGCAAAAAAACTTGTTCGGAGTATTCCTGATGTTCATGGGAAGTCGCTGACCTGATATAATGGCGGCACTGCAAGCGAAAGTCCGGATAATAGCCATCACTCCTTCTGTCACAGACGTCGTCGGCAGTGTCGTGACTCTCAGCGTCGACGCAGGCCACACTCGACTCCACGTCACAGGCTCCGATCCCCGGGTGGTACCGCTCGCTGGGGCTGCACGAGAACTGGTAGCCGATCCCCGACACGCATCTGCAACGCGTCCATTTAATCCTTAAGCGTCGGGGTATTAGACTTCCCCGCTTCGGGTGGCGTTGCGAAGTTTCCTTTGAATTTTCCTTGAGTAATTGTTTTAATCGTGATACCAAGATGAAACTATTTAGGGTTCGGTATGAAAGAGCTGAGATTAATTGCGTTATGTGCATCGTTAGTATTTAAACTTATATTTCACAGGTGAATACAGGAAGGTACAATGGTTGCTATGAATTCCATTTCCTTGAATATCTGAGAGAGACACATTCGAAACGAGTTGCACGTACTGCACTTTGAAGAAACGATGCGTGGCAGCATGGATTGCCACGCGTTCATTCAGAATTTTTTACTTTTGAGGTCAAGCTATTCCCAGAAGGCATTAACGGCAACGACTATGCTTTTCCGGAACGCATCGGTCGATCGGATGCCAACACGCTCGAAACCGCCTCCAATATGTGAGCGAGTTCCTGTCGCAAACGTGGTCTTCAGACCCAGACATCTGGGTAAAACATCCAAAAATCTCTAACCCTTCCCGGAGATTCTCGAGTGCTTTCATCTTTCCCTGTGGGTCACTCGGAATTTCGTGCCGGCGATAGCGACCGATTTTGAGTCGTTGGGAAGCTCCCGTCTTCATTAGTTCCGAGAACGATTCCTTTGAGGTTTTTATCCTCGACTTTTGCATATAATATTTTATTCTTTTAATGGTGCATCGTCAGCGTTTGACATATCTGGCTCTTGTGGATAAAGAATCCCGGAACGAATATTCTTTCTTAACTTTAGCTTTCTTTAGCTTTTGTTGCAACACCTGGTCTCCAATGAGGTCACGAGGAGGAGATTGCTCGTGGAGAGGGGATCGCCCATACAGAGGTGAAGACTGAAATCTATGGGAGGGTCCCTCGGTCACTTAAAGGAGGGGAGGGAAAGGGGGAGAGGGGCAGTGCCAATTTCGCTCGCCAAGATTTTCATTTGAGTGATACACGTGGTCCATATGCACACAACTAATGCTATCCCCAGTTGTCCGTTTGCACATACAAGAAAATGGGGGAAAATGGAAGACTTCCAAAAACACAACTGTAAGACTGGTCGGTCAGACATTTTGTGCATGGCAGGAAATACCTAATACCGTTCAGTCCGAGACCCTTTTCATAAAAATGAAAACTTTCAGAATCTTAATATTAGAATTTAGGAAATCTTCCGTTTTCCTTGATGATTCACGCAATTCCCCCAAACTCGTTGCTTTTCGTTGCGCTTGTCCTTTCCACAATCAAAAACTTTCGCTGGTTTATCGTTGGGCCATAGAGGGGGAAGTTAGTTTATTTTTTGGCTAATGATTGGCCGACTTGTGTGGAATGAGTTGGCCGACCCATCATTCGCCGAAGATGAGTCAATGTGGCTAAGAAGGTTCCGAGAACCGGCGTAAGATGGAGCCAAAGTGGTCGTAGTAGGATTCTACTGAAATGAGTCCCCTGTCCCATTGACACAGTTTCCTATGGTTTCTCACATAGACCTCAGAGGAAGACAATTGAATTCCTTGAAACTTTTCTCTGAAGATGTAACCTAGCCCTGGAATTAACCAGGAAATTCCGACCCGGAGGTCCGTGGGAGGATCCTACTTTCTATCATAAGCTACGCGACCTTTTTTTCAATTTCGAGACATTGAAAAGTATATTACACGTAAGGCTTGCCTGGCCTCCAGGGGAAGGACAGATACCCTTGCATTCCTATGTGATTCCACTCCTGGATGCCTTAGCATCCGGAAGGAATGTTGCTGGGGATATTCTCAGCTCTTGGCGTTAGGAGTGAACCTGTGTAAGGTTCTGGGGCTAAAGGGGCCAAATGATGCATTCTTTGTATGCATAATACTGCAGATGCAGTTATGTGGGTTTTTTTCCTATATCTTTTCACCGTTGCGAAAGTCGGCTTATGGCTGGGGCGTGTGCGGTTTCCCAACAAGGAGACAAAGTTGACCCTTCATCGGGCTAGGAGGACATGCCTGACCATAAACCAACTTAAACCAACCAAATGCCGGTGATGGCCCAGGATGTTTACGCCAATATTATATAAATTTGATCGGAATTTTTTTGCCTATTTAATATCTATTTTGCGCAAACCTTCATCAATATATTGTCAACATGTTTGCAGAAATGTCACCTCTGTGATATGCAAACGGTGATGTAAAATTGACGAGAATTTTATATGAAATTGACATTCCCGTTTGCATCCCAAACGGCATTTTTATATCACTATTGTGCAAAAAAATTTTGCTAATTTTTTTGTCAAAAAAATTCATGCTAATTTTTATAAGTGAACTACCAGCTTTTAAGAAAAGTCTGGGATACTCGGAAGAGTATACAAGTACTCCTCCTTTTAAAGTACCCAAATATACCTCCTACTACAATCTTCCGCACACAGCTTCGAACCTTGAGAGCACGAGCAGGAATTAAAGGTACCACTCTGCATAGATGAAAGTTCGGCAATTGAGAAGTCTATCATTTCACCCTTCCTTATTCCCGTAAACTCCTTTATTCCCATACTTAACTTCAACATTTAATAATTCACTGAGTCATATTTTGTGATAATAATATCTTAGTTCAATGTTTTCCTAATATATGTTTATAAATTGCACAATGAAAAGAGGAAAGAGGGGAGAAAGACCTGATACTATTTCAGGAAAGCAGGTACTTAATTGCATTTATTGGGTACAGGGAACATGGGTTCCATCTAGGGAGGGATCTTGGTGCTTGAGACAGTCTAGAGTCAGCTGTAGTTTCATATGGACGTTGTGGTGTCCATTTTGCATAAACTTCATGTCATGTACTTTATATCAGGTGAATTCGTGTCTAGTTTATATGAAATACACATCCCCTTAGGTGATGTAAATAGAGGAATGTACATTTTATATGAACGTGACATCATTTGCATGACAATCGCAAAAATTGACATTGTTTGCAAAAAATTGATATATTGTTTATATAAACATGCTGATTGGGGAATTTCCCTTTTCCTATGAATAATTCACTGCAGCCAGAGGCAACGGTGAACTTTGTTTTAGGAAAGTATGGGTTGCAACGGGATTGCCCAGATGGCCGAAGAAGTGATCTTTTAATCACCATGAGAAACATCAAGATTCAGATGGATTTACGTTGAGAAAAGGCTGGAAGGACCTTGTTCAGATTAAAAAAAAAAATCCTAATGGAGCTTGGCTGAAAACAATAGTCCACCTTCCAGAGACTGTGACTGATCTTTTGAGTAGGAGACGTGCTTCTATGTCACAAGGTCTTCCCACTCCTCTTCAAGCGCACAGATAAAGACCTCTAAAGTAACTTTCTTACTCCAGTGAGCTGTCAAAGACTCGGCTTGTCAAGAAAATCAAGACAGCTGTGACCAGCAAGCCCTAATGCTTGTTGCGACTCGTTCTCTCAGGAAGATAAAACTGACAGATCACGCATAAATTGTGAAGCAAGCAAGCTACCCAAACAACCCCAACTCAAGCGACTAATATGAGACTTGCCTTAGCATCAACTATTCAATAGAACAATCCAACTTTATTCCCTCAGATGAGCTTCTGGACCTTGTGATTCATAGCGGATTTTCACAAAGGCAGTATCAGTCTGTTCGAGATGGAGCACGGCCTCATGATGCCGAAGACCTGTATCCATCTAACAGAAAAGTACTGGAAGCAAAGTGCCGGTATTATAAAAAATATGGGCATGAGATACGTACAGCAGTTTTATTCATTTTCAATGATGTCCTGTTAAGAAATATCATTGGAAAAAATGAAAGAATTCAGGGGTGCTAGGTCTGAAACTAAGCGAAAATGTCCGAGTTCACTCATGCTGATGGGTATGCATAATTTGTATGGTGACTGACAAGCACGTCCAAAATATGGAGCATTAGAGGAAATAAATTTTCGGCGTAAATCTTGTGAAATGGTAAAAAACGCAAAACTGTCCACAAATAGGCGCTCGTCAACAAACTGATGGCTCTACCCTAATCTGGAAAGTACCTGTGCTTAGCGGCAATTTTTTAGCACTTCACTGTATTTCGTGGCTCTATTCCATTTGAAAATATTCTTTGGTAGTTTCATCGTTTCCATTACATTCCCAGTACTACCCACCAGACACCCTGTAAAAATGAATTTTGGCGGGAAAAAATTATATCTGCATCACTGTGCGCCGTCACGAGACGACATGATGGTCGCTTGTTGTCCGTATGAGCGATTGCCCACCTCCCCAAAAAGCATTTTTAAAACGTTTTAATGCGTTTTCAAAACTCACCTGCAGTGTTCACTCTTGAACTTTCACATCCCCTTCCTTCAAATTATCCTTTACATGATCCTTCACATGCCCGTGCAATAAATGAAGTGAAAATTTGCAAGAACAGATTTGGACTGACCTGTAGTAGGTTCTGCAGTCGGTCTCGTAGTCGGGATACGTCCCGTCTTCCTTCCCTCGGCAGCTCAAGAATCCTTCTAGTCCCTAAAAGTAGCCAAACCGAACGTCGTCTGTCGACTTGGACTAAAGCATATTGTTTTAGTTTGGGTAGCCTCGTCGTGAGGCTTTTTGGGGCAATCATTTACAGTCGACGGCATGCACAGAGAGACTTCAGCTGATATTCCCTTTAGTATGAGGAATACTTCCAATTTCTATCTAATATTCCTGGCATGTTTCTGACCTGGCCATTCCTGGCCAGACCGCAGAAACAGGTTGAATTAGCTGCTGATGCTCCAGGTCGGCCGAACACCCCCTGTCGAATTCGGTCGAACAGCGTCAATAATTTTGCATAGAGCTTCAAAATGCTTTCCTTCATAACTTTCTTCTGTCTGGCATTCAACTTTAATTTAATGGTTTTATTATATTTGTCGGAGTGTTCCTGGGGTCGCTGGTCAGTAGCTGCTCGATGACCCGCCAATCTTCCCATTAATTTATTTTCTTCATAGTGGGTGGAGCAAAAAAATAATAATAATCCGGTCTGATTGAGGCCTTATGACCCTGCCAAAATTCTAGGTTTAAAAA